TGAATAATTAAAATCAGATTCATTTTTTCTCCGTGTTTTAATTCTTTGGGCCATGAATAAAAATCGTTGCAAAATCCAGTCATTCGTCTTGTTAATTGTCTTAATCGCTTCATAAATGGATGCTGCATAACTTTTTCCGAAAAAAAAAAATCCACACTGTAATTCAATCAAATCTTGTAAAGAGTCGCATGCACTTAATCTTTCACGAATATTTACATAATCAGTGATTGATGGATATCCATCGTACTGATATTCCATTAACATTCCATCAAAATGAAATCTAAGATCATTAATAAACCGTTGCATCCAGTCTGAAGTTACTTGCGGAAGTAATTCATGTCGTAATTGAAATAATTGTTTTTGCGTTGGATCGTTTTCAATAGGCATTTGCCGACCATTTAGTATTTGTTCAAAATCATTAAATATTGAATTTATCTCTTCGAAACTAAATGAACAGTAATAATCGTCAAGAGTGAAAAGAAAAACAATATATCGTGAACATAAAAGCAATTGATCATATTTTGCTCGAGGAAACAGAGTGCTAATTCCCCACGATAAACCGGCTGTTTTATATTTTCTTCGTTGTTCTTCAGGTAGCATTGTATATTGATCAATTAATATATTCATATCATGATTGAGACGACCTGTTTGACTATTCAACATTAATGCAAATGGATAACTGAGTGTTGTTTTATCGTCTTCTTGCATATTTGCTTTTAAAAACAATGAATATAATGCGATACTAAAATGAAGAGAAAAACAAAAAAAGAAATATCTTGTACTGCAATCAATAGTTCACGGAGACCAAAAATCAAAATATTAATGTTCAATATTGTAGAGTAAATTGATTAGAAAAAAAAAAACTTTACTTTTTTTTTCTTGACTCTATCGATTAAAATGTGCATTGCACAACTCTCATGAAAACGACATAGTTCTTTGAATTCCGCTAGTAATAATGTCTTCAGTGACATCACTAATCTGATTAAGAGCACGGACTTCAAATGATCTTATCTTTATTTTATTAGTCTAGATTGGACTGTTTCATTGTTGCTGCCAATTCCATGTGAGACGACGAAAGTTACAAATTATATTCGCATAAAATTTTACAGTATAGCTGTAATCGATAGTTTTCTTATTGCTCATTTGCTTATGACAATCATTGACTTTTGGTACTATCTTAGCACGCCTACTATGCTGTGTCTAATTCTTTGGAATTTTGTAACAGATAAATGGATTATGAATAAAATAAAGAGTAAAACTACGGAAGCAAAAAAGAAAGTTTCGACTAATATAATCCACATTAATGTAATGCTCATCAATCTACGATTTTCGTCTTGGCACTTATGTGATAATAATGTATCAAGAGAAATAAAATAAATTATACAATTGATGTCGATTGAAACCATGATGTATTTTGTTATGATTGATGGATAATCATTAACTGTATTTGAATAAAGCAAAAGTGTCAAAAGCAAATCTAAATTTAATATATCACATATTGTTGAATTAAAGCTTTCATTACTTGGCACGACGAGAAATATAATATTAAACAGTAAGATGATTGTATTAGATAAACGACTTTAATCACGAAATTTTATATAAGCTACAATAGAAATCTCTCTTTTAATCAGAGTTTTTATTGTTGACTATTAAAAAAGAACTAAATTTATAAAACCATTCTCGTAAGAGAATATCTATAGAACAAACTAATTTTTGTTGGTAATTATGGATAAGATGATAATGACTAAAAGGACATTTATATTGAAGCTACCCATGTAATCACGAAACGCAAGATCGATGCGTTGAAACGTGGTTTCACAACAAAACGCATCTAGACGCAGTTAAAAACGGTTTCACAACGCATTCAAATGCATTTTTAATATGAAACGCGTTGAGACGCAGTTAGAAAACTTTTGAAACGCGTCTGAAGGCAGTTTTTGTATGCAACGTGTTGAAACGCAATTGTAAAAAAACTATGAACCGCGTCTCAACGCGTTTCATATTGAAATTGCGTTTGTACGTGTTTAATAAGAGTTTGACTGAACGCGTTCAAACGTGGTGTAATATGAGAAGCGTTGAGACGCAGTTAGAAAAAATTTTGAAACGCGTCTGGACGCAGGTTTTCTATACAAGGCGTTTAAACGCAATCAGAAAAAAATGAACCGCGTTTCGACACGTTTCTGAAAAAAATTTAATGCGTTTAAAAAAATTTTGTTTACGAACTGCGTTCAAACGTGTCTTAAATATGTTTTTCGCTCGCGTTAGGACGCAATCATATTTTCGAGTGCCTTTGAAAGTGTTTATTTTTTGTGTATCGGACGCGATTTTACCCAAAAATTGCTGCTCTAGAAGAGTTAACTGCATAATCAAAATCATCAGCTTACATGTATTTTATTCATCTAAACTTCATTAGACTTCTAATAAAGAATGTCGAGATGACGTTAAAATAGACAAAATTTAATTAAACATACGGTGAACAGTCCATATTTCTCTAAAGTTTGTAAGAAAAATAGTTAGATAATATTGTAATAGTTTCCAGCTATGCAATGCCCTTTCAGAATATTGTTAAATACTACTATTTAAATAATATTATTAGTAACTTTTCATCATATATTTCTACTAAATTGGTTGTCAATAATTATCTATTCATTAAATTTTTCGATAAAATTATTTATCGTATTACCAGTGCAACAAAAAAGATCGTAATATTTTTTATGTGTAGTAGATGATAAAAAAAAGATGTTATTTTATTAAAAAAATAAAAAACTTATTTAAAAAAATAACTGAAAAGTCATCTTACGTGTTAAGACTCTTGAATTCGAAAAAAATACATCTTGTTAAAATAAAGTATTTAACCGATGAAATTCGTCTTCAAATATATTTTATTTTGAATAAGACAAGATTTCGAGTTAGTATAACTCAGCGGTATGTATGAACGACTTCTAATCACTGGTTCATCTGTTCAAATCTGATCGTCGTCGCTTAAGGTAAAATCTAATCCATTTGCCAGGGAAGGCTAAGACCATCAAAAAATATTGATGGTGGCAACTCAGTTCGAATCTGAAATGGATTATCATATTTTTTTTCAAAATTTTTAGTTTTTTTATGAAACGCGTCCAGACGCATTAAATGTTTCATCTGGGACGCGTTTTCGCTAAAAATGCGTTTGAACGCAAGTCAAGCTAGAAGCGCATTCACACGCGTTTCTAAAATAAATCGCGTTTAAACGCTTCGTTTGTTTCACTGGGGACGCGTTCAAACGCGTTCACTCTTAGCATTTCGCACGCAAATGAAACGCGTTTCAGACGCGTTTTGAGGCAAAAAATATTTACATGGGTACTTATGAATCAGATGTGTTCTGTATCTCGCGGTTCAATTGGATAAGCCGTCAAATGACATATGAAAAGCTATACAGTAAAATTAATGGTGTGGATCTTTACTCATGAATAACGTTCATTGGTTTCCAATTTACTTTATTCTAGAATGAGAGTGTGCAGATGATTGTCATAGAATCAGTTTTCATAAGTTTTTTTTCTTTAGATCTTGAACTGTACCTATCCATATGACGTACTTAAATGTCTTCTATAACTACAGAGTTTTAAAATAACGACCCAAATTTAATTGAAACTATCGAATGGCGACATATGGCTTTCATTCTCTAGTATTGATTTTTCTAATATGAATTAAGTGTATTAGCTTCTTCTACAATAATTCTATCAACTTCAGTAATTGTGTATCCATTTAGTGCTGATTAATGTTCAAATAAAGAATTCCACAAAACTAAAGTTTGATTATACTTATATCAATCACAAATGTTGCCTCAATCAGTCCGAATGACATCTTTCCAATTAGAACCACTAGAAAAAATGATTTCAAGTAAGTCAGTCATTTCAGTCAGATAATAAATCATATGATTCACATATGCTTGAAAAATATTTTAATTATACAAGAAGATGCAAAGTGATTACTAGTATTAAGAAGATCAATATTCTCAATATACTTTTTGCCATTTGAGTTCAAATATAGAATTCAAGACTGATCATTTAGACACAATACACAATAAATGAATTAATAAAATAAAGATAAGATGAGAAAGATGTATTGTGATACTCAAATCTAATGCCTTCCATAGGATATTTCATTTTTTTAAAAGACGTATTAAACTGAATTACATAAAATTGTTGGTGAATGGGAGCAATGAGCTGAATTCTGCTTATTTTGATAGTTTAAACTGCACTCAAATAGAGATAAAATAGAGTACGGCGTCTTCAAATATTAGCTATTCATTCTATCATTTAGTCCTATCTTTATTATGAAATGTACGCGTGAATCATTACCAAGATATGCTAGCTTCTTCTATCATCAGTGTAGAAAACTTAACATTGAAACATTCGTGTAATAGATTTGGTTATCACTCACCTGGTTTCTTTCGATAAGACAATCGTTGATGTTTATATAAAAATAGTACAGATATACGTTCTGTTGTACACATTAAATACCTTTATATTTGATTGTCTTCTAAATATCCATATGCGCATTCTGACGCACTGTTATTATATGAGTCAGGTAAGTTATAATTAACATACTCACTTGTAGACACACGATAATGAATATTCGTCATATCACACTTTATTCAAATATGGGAAAAGGCCAAGAATCATAAGGGAAAATATCCATGTAAAACTAAAGGCTAAAAATAAGGACATGGATGATTTTTATCCATTTGCGACATAATTAATTGATGAAAGTCAAGTAATTGTGACGCTTGTTTTTTGAATTAAATTGAAAATGACGATTGAACTTTTGCATATTCGATTCGAAATGAATAATTATTTTCCATTATCATCGGTCTTGTTATTGAAATCGAAAAATATCAATTATAAACTCGCAGAATCGATGTTCTATAATTTTTTCTAAATCAGCTGAAATGATTTCCATTCGTAGTTCATAATTTTTTTCTTCTCTAAAATCAATGATACCGATTATAATCTGATAAAATTGATTGAATTTTCGAATGAATTATATCCATCTACTTAAAAATCGTCTAAAATCAATATAGTGGTATAATATATAATAATAGTATAATAGGACTTGTATATTTTAATATATTCCAAATAAAATAAAATAAATGACAAAAATCGAAGTTAATTTCTATTAATTATATAATATATCTATGTATACAAGTCTTCTATTGTATTATTATTATATACTATATTACTATTATTGATTTATTTTGAAGTTGAATAGGCAAGAATACAACATCATGGTGATACTGATGATGCGTTGGTAGAACCCGAAAGCTCTATTAAAAACAATTCTAACTACAAGTAACCTTCGCCGGTTCGACTCACTTGACCCTCGACTGTATCAGACAGAAGTATCTTCCGCATGTATTGTGCCGAAAGAATTGATCTACCAGCTTTATCAGGATAACTAACTCAAACTTCGATTTCTTGAATCATAAAAGTCGAAGAAATTGATCGGCCTTTTTGTAAAATAGTTCAGGATAAACCTTATTTGCCAAAAAGAGATTGTAAAAACAAGCAATTCTTTATCCTAGCGCACTTCAACTAATAAATATCGGCAGAAAAATAAATATTATAGATACTAGTAACATAATGGCATAAGTTAATTATTCAGTGATAGACAGCTTACATTTTCTATTTCTTGCTGTCTTCATCTTCTTTTGGTGCGTGCACGCTACATAT